GTAGGTTCTAAGTAGGGTTATAAGTACCCTAAATGGAGTTACCCCAATTATAGCCCTACTTATAACCGACTTACCAAGTCCCCTGGGCCTCGAAGTATAGATCCGAAGCCCTTCTGATTATAAACCCTAATGTGGAATTTTTAGGGACCCTACAAAAAAGTAGGTTTTGATAGGTTAGGTACTAGGACCCAGAGTAGGCCCTTATTCCCTTTTTTGGGGGTTTAGGTTCCCTTATAACCCCCTTTGAACCAAAAAGGGCACCCTTTTTATTCCTAGGTTACTCTTGGGTCTAGGGTAGATTACACACTTGCCAGAAGTGTGGAGTCTTGGAGCCCCCCCGAAGGACCGCCAGCGGTTCCATCACTTGGAGAAGCTCCGGAACGAGCTTCGGGAGGAGACGCTAGGGTTTAGGGTTTAGGGGTTTAGGGTTTAGGGGTTAGGGTTTAGGCCTAAACCTTAAGCATTAAAAGCCCTAAACCTTACGACGTTTCGGGTTCAGGTTTTGAGGGTTTTGGGGGTTTAGCCTTCAAGGAAGGGTCCGGGGTGTAGGGTTCAGGGCTTTCAAGCTTAGGGTTTAGGTTTCTCGGCTGCATGGACCCTAAGATATTGTTTAGAAAAGTACGGATGCGGAGACTGTTTCAGGACTGGAGAAACGATCGCAACAGTTGATGTGATAGACGATGCTCATGCCTGGCATGAAGAGGTCCTCATTTCAGAGTGGGCTGCCAGAATTTTGCACGGTGTGGAGTCTAGCGTGTGTAGGTTTGAGAACGAGCCGACGCTTCTTGGCTCAGGTGTGTAGGCCTAGAAGGGCTTGGGTAATTTTACTGGCAAGCGCTGTACGCCGGGCACGAAATTAGTAATTTCCTAAGCCTTGTTACCATCCCAAGCTAAACCTAGACCCCCAAACCTAAATCTTAAGACGTAAAGCCCAAAAACCTAAACCCTCAATTCCAACGTGCATTCCCTAAGCCATGCCATTTTCTGGGTTCTTGTGAAGGGGTTAAATTCAAGATACCATAAGAAGGAAGCCATATTAATTACTATAGATCCTGCCTGTTATGGCAATTTAAATTAATCTCCTTAACAAGAACCCAGTTTTTGTTGGTGGCTTTTCTGCTCTTCCATTCCCCAGCCGGCCCATGTTTGGGAGTGTGTTGACTCAGGCACTTAGACTTTGAAGGTTCGTGTTTTTGGCGGTCTAGTGCTTTTGGATCCAAAATAAGGCTTCTTGAACCCTAAACCGTAGACCCCAGATACAGAGCCTTTGCATTGTTTCGCACACTAAGGCCGCCTCCTTGATTGTGAACCGTACCTTGATTTGCAGCAATGATTAAGATGATTAAGATGTATAGTTTGGCGTTCTGGGATGAAGTAAGGTTGAAGATGTATAACAGTAGCAAGCCCTCTTCTTAAGATATGTTCTTTAATTGCAAGCCTATCAACGTCGATGCAACCTACTTGCTGAACACAGAAAGCCTGAAGCTCTGTACATAGATCCACATGAGAACCTACAGAACACGAGTATAGCGTCTCTCGATTGATGTAGATGTAGATGTAGATGTATATGTATATGCGTGTATATTTTTTCTGTATGTATGTATATATATATATGTACATATATATACATGTAGAGAGAGAGAGAGAGAGAGAGAGAGAGAGAGAGAGAGAGAGAGAGAGAGAGAGAGAGAGAGAGAGAGAGAGAGAGAGAGAGAGAGAGAGAGAGAAGAGAGAGAGAGAGAGAGAGAGAGAGAGAGAGAGAGAGAGAGAGAGAGAGAGAGAGAGAGAGAGAGAGAGAGAGAGAGAGGGAGAGAGAGAGAGAGAGAGAAGCCTTGAAGGCATCGTTTCAGGCCTCTGCATGGACCACCCATGAAATGAGACTAGTCTATGAGAAGGGCTGCTATTCCGCCTGGGGGAGTGCAGAAAAAGGCTCCTGTGAAATCTCGATGAGTTCACATTTCTGTTTTGTAATGGGGGTACTACGGTTGATGATATAAATCCTGCATGACCCATAAGAACGAATATACCAGACTTCCTATAGTCTAGGGCCATGAAGGTAGTGCAGGATATATATCACCAACCGTAGCATCACAGACACCCCACCAAGCTGCCAAACCCTAAACCATCCTAAGCCCTAAACCTTGAGCCAATAAGCCCCAAAACCCCTAAACCCTAAACCCCAAAACCTAAGACCCCAAAACCCTAAACCCCTAAATCCGTAAACCCCTAAGCCCCTAAGCCCTAAGCCCCTAAACCCCTAAACCCTACGCCCCTACACCCCTAAACCGTCAGCCCCTAAAACCTTAAACCCCTAAACACTTACCCATAAGCCAGCGCCCCTAAATCCTAAACCCTAAGCCCCTAAATCCTAAATCCTAAATCCTAAACCCAAAGTCCTTAAACCCCTAAACCCCTAAATCCTAAATCCATAAACCCTAAGCCCCGAAATCCCAAACCCGAAACCAGGCCTCCGAGGAGCTCACCTATGAGAGGCAAAGGGCGCAGCACCACGAGGTCGCGTTTTGGGCCTGGGTTTGTTTCAGGGTTTCCTTTGGGTTTAGGGGTTTAGGATTCAGGGTTTTGGGGTCTTGGGTTTTGGGGTTTAGGGTTTAGGGGTTTGTTTGAGGCTTTTTTTTGTTTTGTGTTTTGGAGGTTTAGGGGTTTAGGGTTTAGTGAGGGTGTGGGGATTTTTTGTTTTGTGTTCTACCTACTACCTGCTTTCTGAGGCCAGCGAGGTGCCAAGTGATGAGTTTTGGGCTTCTTTACTTCCTCTTGGAGTTTTTGGGTTTAGGGTTTGGAGTTTAGGGTTTAGGGTCGTAGGGCTTTAGAGGGTTTACGGTAAGGTTTCATGCCCCTTCAAAGCCTTCTGCTTCAGTTAGGAGTTTCCGAAAATAGGGGACCCTAATCTAGTTCCCTAAATAGTAGGATCCTTATTATAAGGACCCCAAATTAAGGTGCCCCTAATTTTCGGAAACTACCAGTTCGGGGGCATGCGCGAGGCAAGTTGCCACTGTCGGCCAAACCTGACTAGGCAGGCCCTAGGTGGAGGTTTTTTGGGTAGTTATCAGTTGGGTATGGCCCCCTCTCAGTAACAGTTGGATAATATTCATAATATAGATATATTAGGCCCTTAATAGTAGCCCTATTATAGACTGTTACTGTAAGGGGGCCTTACCCAAGTTATAGGTAGGGTTATAAGGGGGTTTAGGTTTCCTTTAAGGGTTCTATAGGGTTTAAAGTTTAGGGTAGTTGTAATAAGTAGGGTTAGAAGTATGGTAACTATACTTATAACCCATATTGGGGGACTTGTAACTATAGTTATAGCTACCCATGGACCTCCAAGTAGATGGTAGTAGACGTGTTTGGCAGTCTATGGTACGGTTCGGGGCACCTCGACCCAAAACCCTAAACCCTAAACCCTAAAACCCTAAACCCTAAACCCCTTGTTAATCAGAAGATTTGGTACACGCAAAGAGGCACCTCGGGGTTTACGGTAGACCATCTGCCATTGAGGTTACGACCCCAGCTCCCCACCAGGATCCTGTTTGTAGTGTAGGGTTTTAGGGGTTTAGGGGTTTAGGGTTTAGGGTTTAGGGTGTAGAGGCTTCGGGTTTGGGGTTTAGGGTTTAGGGTGTAGGGGCTTCGGGTTTAGGGTTTAGGGTGTAGGGTTTAGTTTAGGTTTAATGATGGTGCACCCTGTCACCCGACGGAGCTCGCACAACTTCATGCTGCGCTGCCTCACGAAGAGCGCATCACGCTGAGTCTTTGCAGTTGGCCGCTCCTTGCAGTACAATGTCTTTTTCTGGTTGTTCTTATTGTTGCCAGCATCATCACGGATGTGTGTGTGTGTGTGCTCGTCCTGCAGCAAGCTGTTGCTTAGCGTTGGCAAGTTCTTCTTTCTCGTTTTTCTCTTATTCTCGGTTTCAGTGAGCACTCTTCTGTCCTTTGTGATCATGGCCGTCTCCGTGTGACTGTCGTCGTCATTGTCGTCATGCTCATCATCACTATCGCAGCTGCTGCAGCCCTGCCCTGCTGTACCAAACCCCCAAGCCCGATATCCAAAACCAAACCCAAAGCCCCGAACTCTAAACCACTGAACCCTAAACCCTAAAATCCTGAATCCTCAACCCTAAACCCTAAACCCGCTGAACCCTAAACCCTAAACCCCCTATACCCTAAACCATCCGCTGTGCCTGGCTGGCTGACTGGCTCTCAGCGTTTGTCGTCTCCTTCTCTCGCTGCCTTTCCCTGTGGCATTGTCGGGCCAGGCTCCCTGAGGGTGCAGGGGTTCCTTTAAAGGGATGTATAAGGGGTACGTCATGTTGGGGTCCGTATAACAAGGATCCTACTAGTTAGGGTACTACATTAGGGTCCCCTCTTTGCGGAAACTCCCATTTTGCAGTCGCAAATCCATCCCGTCAGCTACTTGGAGGGTCGGGGGACTTAGTAAGTAGTTACTTTAGGTACTTATAAGTACCATAACCCGAATTAGGGTCCCTTTTAGGGTACTTATAAGTCTACTTACTACCTACTTGCTAAGTCCCCCGACCCTCTAAGTACAACCAACCGATCACTTCAGGCTTGGATTTCCATTGCGCCTTGACGGGATAGCGAGTGATTTGTGCCTGCAGGCCTGAACATGCTCCTTTCACGGCTCAGGCCCTAACAAAGCACCTGTAAACCCTAAACCCTAAACCCTAAACCCGTAAACCCTTAACCCCTAATCCCTAAACCCTAAACCCTAAACCCTAATCCCTAAGCTAAACCCTGAACCTGATACTTCCGGGAGCTGAAACTCCAGAAAACCCTAAACCCTGTAAACCCTAAACCCTAAACACTAAACCCCAAAACCCCAACAACCCTAAACCCAGACCCCTTAACGGAACCCTTAAGGATCCCTTATACATCCCTTTAAAGGAACCCTTTCCCCGAAACTCTAGAACCCCCCCCCCCCCCCGAAAACACAACCCTAGACGAGGGATCCCTCGAGGCCCAGACCCATGGCTTGGTCGCGCGTCCGCGACCATCCCAGAGGCCCTGCCCTTCGAGGGATTAAGGGTTTAAGCTTTAGGGGGTTTAGGGGTTCAGGGTTTAGGGTTTAAGGGTTTAAGGGTTTAAGGGTTTAAGCTTTAGGGGGTTTAGGATTTAGGGTTTAGGGTTTAAGGGTTTGAGGGTTTAGGGGGTTTACAGGGTTTAGGGGGTTTAGGGGGTTTAGGGGGTTTAGGGGGTTTAGGGGGTTGAGGGGTTAGGGTTTAATAGGGTTTAGGGTTTAGGGTTCAGGTCCTGGGGTTTGTGCGGGTTCCGCCCTGTTCTCTATGCTTTTGCCCTTTCAAACTTTTCTTTTTGCCCGTCGACTCGTCCAGGGTTCAAGTCGGGAGCTTCGTTTCAACGAGTGGTTTGCCATTTGGGTGGTTGTCAAAATTATGGTCCCTTTTTGGGTTTTGGGTCCCTAATAAAGTACGGCACCCAATAGTTACGGTACCCCAAAAGGGACCCTGATTTGACAGATCATTCGGAGGTCCCCTGAATCAGCAAAATAGGCCAAGAAACCCAAAACGCAAAACCCTACACCCAAAACCCTAAACCCTAAACCGTCTACGCCCTGAAGAAGCACATCTGTTCCTGGACTTTCATTTCCGTGCTTCTATTCTCCAAGGGTAAAAGGAGGGACCCTTAATAAGGACCCCTGGGTATGTACCCTTAATATAGCTATTATATACCCATTATATAGCCCATTATAGGGTAGGGGTCCCCATTAAGAGTCCCGCCTTTTCCCCTTTGATATTCTGTCCGTGAAACATTGAAGCAATGCAATGATGTAGGAATCTATATGGTCATGCATGTGAAAACAAGCAACTTCTGTTTATCCCGGGCTAGGGTTTAGGCTTTAGGGTTTCAGGTTTAGGGGTTCAGGTTTTCAGGGTTTAGGGTTCGAGCGTTTAGGATTTCTGTAAAGGTTCGTATGACGGGGTTAGAATGTGGGTCTAAAGTTTTGGGCGTGTTTGGTTAGTCTTTAGGGTAAGGGTCGAGGGATGAGGGTTTAGATGTGGTTGGGTTTCGGGGGATAGGGTTTGAGGTTTAGGGTTTCGGGTCCCGGGTTTGGGGTTTGTAGGTGCTTATGGTTCTTACGCTGGAAGTCTTGCCGCTTGGCCTGTGCAAGGCCTTGGGAGTTTGAATACACGGGTCCGATCAATTAGGAATGCTGTTTCTAAGGCTCTAAGGGTTCCTGAAGATAGTTCTGGAAGATCGTTCCAATATGGTAATGATTCCAGGACCTCTAAACGGCACAGCGGGCAGGGTACAATTCTCAGGTTTGAGCCTGAACCTCAATCCGGCTTAGGGCAGCCCGAGGTGCCTCTTTCGCAATCGTCCGTAGACACGAGACGCCCAATGATCGAGTCTATCTCTTCGTGCCGCTTCCTGACTGCAGAGGTGACTTTCACTTCGGGGTCTGGGGTCTTGGCTCAAGGATGTAGGGAAACCTTACACCTCAAATCTCAAACCCGAAACCCGAAATCCTAAATCCTGACCCCCAAATCCGAGGCACAAAGCTCGATATCCTCAACTCAGTTAACTCTACACCCTAAGCCCGATACCCAAACTCGAAATACTCAACTCGGGTTTAGGTTTTGGGATTTACGCAGCCTTTGGCTCGCCGTTCTTACGGGCTTTTTTTGCGTTTCTGGTGTTGGTGTGGGTTTGGGGTTTGTAGCCTGGGCTTTTGCACAGAGAGCCCAACGCTCCGCAACTTTAGAGTTTAGGGTTTACCTTAACACTGAAAAACCTACCGTTTTAGGGCCTCTTAGTATGATGTAGGTTATTCAGGGTTGAGGTAGGGTTTAGGGTTGAGGGCTTTGGACAACTTAGGGTTTAACAGGCGAGGATGGCTTGAAGTGCACGATGATGTACTTAGAGGCCCAGGGTTATAAGTAGGGTCATAATTGGGGTAACTCCATTTAGGGTACTTATAACCCTACTTATAACCTACTTACTAAGTCCCCTGGGCCTCTAAGTAGGGCTTCTTGTGATGGTTCAAGACAAGTTATGAGCTATAGGGTATACGGATGGAGCAAGTAAGGATTATTGGGATGCCCGCGCCATGGTACCACCTAGGGCCCATGCTATGCTGTTCTAGTAGTTAGCCCACCCACCACAAGGCCCGCGCTGACGAGTCCTTTGTATGAGGGTTTCCGGCTCCGGACTTGGTGCTCAGGGTTTTGGAGCTTCAGGTTCATGGCTCTGGGTCGTTGATGCACTAGGAACCCTGGGCCGTGAACCCTGAACCCCAAACCACAAGTGGGACCAACTCTCCTGACCCCCTGGGTGGAAAAAGGAGTTCAAAAAAAAACACAAGTCCTAAACCTAAACATAAGCCGAGAACCTTGAAAGTTAAACTCTGAATAGCGAGCTTGAGCAAAACAACTACCCCATGGCCGAAAGGTAACAACGGCTCGCAGGAGAGCACATGTCCCCCAAAACTTCAGAAAGCTAACCCTCCCTCGCCGCTACGTCCTCAGAGTTTGGGGGGTGAAGGGATTGCTTGGAGGGTCGGGGGACTTAGTAAGTAGGTAGTAAGTAGACTTGTAAATACCCTAAAAGGGACCCTAATTGGGGTTATGGTACTTATAAGTCCCTAAAATAACTACTTACTGAGTCCCCCGACCCGCCAAGTGATGACCCAACAGCTGAGGTACAAAACAGGCCACCACATTGGGCGTGCGCCAGGTCCGGCAGGGAACTAGCGTTTACTTAGAGGCCCAGGAAACTTAGTAAGTAGGTTAGAAGTAGGGTTACAAGTACCCGAAATGGAGTTACCCCAAGTATAACCCTACTTGTAACCGACTTACCAAGTCCTCCGGGCCTTCAAGGCCCACCAGAACTCCAATATTTCTTATGGCCCCCTCCCCGGCAGGCACATGTGCGTTCAGCGGCTTTGCTCTGAAGCTTGAAGCCTTCAACTCCCAAACCCCGTACAACAGACCCCAGACAAAATCGAAACTCGAACCCCTTGACCCTAGCCGGAAACCCTAAACTCTAAACCCTTAAGCACCTAAACCCCTAAGCCCCTAAACCCCTAAACCCTTAAGCCCCTAAACCCTTAAACCCTTCAACCCGTAAACCCTTAAACCCCTAAACCCCTAAACCCTAAACCGTAAACTCCCAAACCCTCAAACCCTTACACCCTTAAAACCCTAAAACCATTCAACAGGCGTCGTCCATTCCCATCCTACCGACGATTTCAAGGGCTTGAAGCACGGACATCCCACCATGGAGTTCGAAGGCCAGACCGGGTCTTGCCCTTTGGTGGGCTCAGGGTTGTTAGAGTTGCTAGGGTTTAGGGCTTAGGGTTGTTAGGGTTTAGGGTTGTTAGTTTAGGAGTTACGGTTTAGGGTCGTTCAGGGTTGTTAGGGTTTGGGGTTGTGAGGGTTGTTAGCGTTTAGGGTTTAGGGTTGTTATAGAGTTTAGGGTTGTTAGGGTTTAGGGTTGTTAGGGTTGTTAGGGTTAAGGGTTGTTAGGGTTCAGGGTTGGATTTAGGGTTGTTAGGGTTTAGGGCTGTTAGGGATTAGGGTTGCTTGGGTTAAGACGCACAGAGGTTGGTGCTTTGAGGTTGACACGCTGACAGGCATCGGAAGGATAAGCTTGAGTTGTTTCTTTTTGCAGGGTTTGTGCATGTCTCGTATCACGCATGGGATCTCGTTTTATCGTGTTCTGTGCAATGTAGGAACCTGATTAAGAAACCCTGGCCCTATAACCGCCAAAACAGTAGGATTCATATAAGGAACCCTAATAAAGGCCCAAGGTTTCTTAATCAGGTTCCTAGTTGGGTGCTTTGCAGGTTTTGCAAGCCTGGAATGGTGTAGCTAGCAGTTCCCCTCAATGCGGAGCTCTAAAGCCCCAAGCCCTAAACCCTAAACCATACTAAACCCTAAACCATACTAACCCCTGAACCAGTAGAATCCTAAACACTACATCCTGAGCCTTTTCAGGTTTCAGAACCGTCGGAACTGATCATCTGGTAGTCCTGGGTTTCGGGTTCAGGGCTTGGGGCTATCCCAGTTAAGCAGGTGTAGAGGCCCAAAGCCTCTGTTCCAAACATGTCCCAAACACAGCCACAAGGTGTGAAATTTCAAGATCCCTGAGGCCGAAATCCTAAACCCCTGTAAGGCTTCCTTTAAGGTTGGTTTAAGGATTCCTTCAAGGATTTGTTGAGGCTTCCTTCAGGGCTCCTTTTATTGATAAAAATAGAACACCAAGCACATGTTGTGGTCCCAAAGGCCATTAAACAAGGTTGAATCCACGGGTAAAAGGAGGGACCCTTAATAAGGACCCCTGGGTATATATATATATATATATATATATACACACACCTTATTATATACCCATTATACAGCCCATTATAGGGTAGGGGTCCCCATTAAGGGTCCCTCCTTCTCCCCTTTTGGTTGAAGCACAGGCAGAATCCGTTGAACCTCATTACGTAACTCGGAGTATGGTGGTCCCCAGTTGGGATTCAGCCATGTAAATTTGTGGATTTCGATGTTAAACAGTGCATGCATTCATCCTGCTCATTGACATACCGTAAGACTCCAAATAGCCCGAAGTAGGTACCATTTGGGCGGTTGTCAACATTATCGTCCCTTTTTGGGTACCCTAAATAATAGGTGCCGTATTGCAATAATGAGCCACAAAGGGACCCTAATTTTGTCAACCACCCATTTCTAGACTTTAGACCCCAAAGTTGGTACTCTTTGCATACTTGGAGTCTTCGGGAGACTCTTCCATTACCGCCAGTACCCTAAGCTACGGGACGCTAGCCTCTTCCTTCTTTCGCGGGTGCTGTGTTTTTTGTTCACTATAGTCTCCTCAGGAACTATTTTTACTTTTGTTCATATAAAACCCAAGAGCATATTAAACACATCATTTTTATTATGTTTCTAATGGGGAGCAGCCAGAGCATGCCAACATTGCTGAATTCACATGCTTCTGTGGTCTGTGGCCACTCTGGTCAGTATATGCGTAGCAGAGTAGCAGTAGCAGCTCAGTAGCAGACAACTATACAGACTACAGTGACGAATACAAACCAGTTACAAAGCACCATCGTCGTGAGAAGTTGGACTTCTGAAACTTGTTTCATTCATCATTGATCATGGCTCGGGGCCTTTCGGTGCTCTTCTTCCTGGCACTGGTGACACTTCCTGTGTTGCTTTGGGCTGCACCGAAGCGTGGCGACCGTAAGGATGGTGACGACGCCGGTGCCGAGAATCGGAGCTGGGCCCTGACGACAGTGGGTACCAGCCGAAACGGCAGCATTGCTGTCGAGGTTGCTGTGCAGACGTCTGCGGGTTCATTGGAGAGCGATACAATGGCGATGCTGCCGGAGTGGCGTTGAAACCCCGAGCTCCGAATCTCCTTCTGCCACCCAACGCCCAAGGCCTCTTAAGTCAGAACCCTACAGGCCTAAACCTTCAACTCGGAGCCTGCGCCCTAAACCCCTCACCAGCCAGAGCCTGAACCCTACACCCTAAACCCTAATCCCTAGCCAACGGTTTAGGGTTTAGGGTTTAGGGGGTTTAGGGTTTAGGGTTTAGGGACCCAAACCTACACAATTTCCAGATGCCATCTTCGATTGCTATGCTTTCCACAAGCGCAACGAGCGGAAAGACGTCCCTCGCCGCCCTCCAGGCGCTCTTCTACGAGATAAATTACAGGCATTAAAGGACCCAATCATGCTAATGCTATATAAGCGTCGGGATATTTGGCTAACACTATTAGTCGGCGTTTCCTAGCTAGAGTTATACTACAATATGCCAGGTTTTGGGATGAGGACATACTGTTTAGGGGTTCAGGGTGTGGGTTTTGGGTTGTAGACCCCGAACCCCCCTAAACCAAACATCCTAAAGCCCAAGCCTCAGGTTCGTGATCAAAATGCCCACAAGCGCAGCTGCTTCAATACCGTCAGGATACCTTGGGGTTTAGGGTTTGTGGTGACCCCATGCAGCTTCCCCTAATGGTTCATAGGGGTTTGGGGTTTAGGGCTAATGGTTCATACACGTGTTCGTTTGAAGCTTCTTTCAAAGGGTCACTCCAGGGTCCTAGACAACATCTTTAACTGATGGTACAGCAAGAGCGTTGGGCAACTCCAAAAAGCTAAGAGGGCCCATGCTGATTTCAAAAAAAGAAACAAACTTGCACAGAATCGGATAGAACAGACCCTGCAAAGGCCTCACAGGAAACACGGGCCCCGACAAGACCCCTGTCCCTGTGGTGGTTTCTGGGGGGGTTGAAACTCATCAGGGCAACACATCTGCCGATGTGAAGCTCTAGATCGTAGCTCGCAAAGAGCACCGAAATCTTGATTCAATAAGCCCACACAGCATTACGAAGCTCTAATGCCCATAAACCCTAGACCTTATCTCCCAAACCATACTGTAACACTACACAGTTGGACGGCATTTAAGCTACATCGCCCTTGACTCCCAAACCCGAAACCCGAAGTCGGAGCGCCCTAAACGCGAAGCCCTAAGCCTTCACCCCCCAAACCCTGAGCCCCACACCGCAAACCCGAATCCCGGGCACCTTGAGCCCCAAATGAAGGCTTCCCAGGAGGCTTCCAAGAAGGTCCGAGGTGGGAGAGCCTTCGTCTCAGTGGGGCGTTGTAGGGTTTAGGGTTGGGGGTTTAAGGTTTAGGGTTCGGGGTGTTGGGGTGTTGGGGTGTTGGAATTGAGGCTTTAGGGTTTTAGGGGTTTGGGGATTCAGGGTCTGGGATGTCATGATAGTAATAATCGTATATAGTAATAATATTCATAATAGTAATAATAGTAATAGTAATAATAATGGTAGTAATAATAGGAATAATATAGTAATAATGATAGGGTCCAGGGGTCAAGGGTTTCGAGGTTTGGGGTTTCGACTGTTGAGGTGTCGGGGTGTTGGAGTTTTGGGTTTATAGGTTCTTCGTGGTTCGGGAGCTTGGTATTGTTCTGGGCTTTTGGGGTTTTGAGTTGAAAGACTTGGCGGGAAGTGTACTATTGGTTTTGACTCTTGAATGGCTGTTGCGGATCCTTCAGTAACGCCACCAGACATATTCAGAGATGCTAGTATCATCAGATTCGCCTCTTACCGATTTGTGTCTGTGCGCGCGGGCGAGCATACTCTTCCGCGAGATCTAGATCGAGTAGGTTCTCAGGAGAAGTCTTCCGGTAGTCAGTTTACACGTAGACAAAACACTAAACCCCCAAACCCAAAACCCAAAACCCTACACCCTACCCTAAACCCAAAACCCCACACCCTAAACCCTAATCCCTACCTCCGGGGAGCCGGCTTAGCGACCCGGAGCCTCAACTCCAACCGTCGCATGTGAGCCTAAAACCCGAAGTCCCAAACCTGAATCTGTAAACTCCCTTAGTTATTTTAGGGACTTATAAGTACCATAACCCCAATTAGGGTCCCTTTTAGGGTACTTATAAGTCTACTTACTACCTACTTACTAAGTCCCCCGACCCTCCAAGTATAGTGAACCCCAGAAAGTTGGAACATGGATTTAGGATGACTCGTTGCGGGGATTGCCTATAACTTATCTTAGGGGCAGGAGGATAGTGATGTTCCAACTTTCTGGCTTCCCCCTGCAACCTAAACCCAAAACCCCAAAATCCTCAAGCCCCTAAATCCCTAAAACCCCTACATCCCAAAACCCCCAAACCCCAAAATCCCTCAAACCCCCCAGACCCCTAAACCCCTAGACCCAAAATCCCTAAACCCCAAAATCCCTAAATCCCTAAACCCCAATCCCTAAACCCCAAAGCCACAAAATCCTTAAATCCCTAAACCCGAAAGCCCCAAAACCCTAGAATCCCTAAACCCAAAAACCCCAAAATCCCTAAATCCCTAAGCCCCAAAACCCTGAACTCCCTAAATCCCTGAACCCCCAACACCCCAAAATCCCTAAACCCCTAGACCCCTAAACCCGAAACATTAAGCCCAGGCCCGGTGTTTTCGTCCGTCCGCCTTTCTGGCTCCAGGTGCGATGTGGGCTCTCACTCTGCTGCCCCCTAAACCCTCAACCCTAAGCCCTAGGCCATCCTAAACCCCTAAACCCTAAACCCTGAACAGAAGCATATCAAATTCCATACGCCCTAAACCCTAAACCCTTCAAACATATCCAAAATCCATAAGCCCCAAACCCTAAGCCCTTAGAAAGTAACAACAAAAGCCACAAGCCCAACTCCCTAAGTCCTTATAGGCATGGACGAGCCTGAAGCCTCCGAGCCTTCCCAGAGCACTCGTCCCGATGCCTCTGAGGCTTCCGTTGTAGTTCCCAGGCTTACCGAAGAAAAAGCGCTGAAGAAGGGGTTTAGGGTTTAGGGTTTAGGGTCCAGGGTGTAGGGGTTTAGGGGTTTAGGGGTTTAGGGGTTTAGGGTTCAGGGTTTAGAAGTTTAGGGGTTTAGGGTTTAAGTTTAATAGGAATATTTAAGGTTTAGGGAAGAAGCGCATAAGACAAGAAGAAGAAGAGCGGCACTACTAGTAGTGAGAGGCATTCCTGTCTGGGAAGCCTTACAATCCTAAAACCTGGCCCCAAACCCTAAACTTTAAACCCTAAACGCTAGACCCTAAACTCTTTTACCCGAATGGCCCTAAGCCCTAACCAATCAGCCTAAACCCTGGGCGCTAAACCTTAAGCACTACTTAGAGGCCCAGGGGACTTAGTAAGTAGGTTATAAGTAGGGTTATAAGTACCTTAAATGGAGTTACCCCAATTATAACCCGACTTATAACCGGCTTACTACGTCCGCTGGGCCTCTAAGTACCTTATAGAATCCTTATAGATCCCTTTTAAGCAGCCCTTTAGGGAACCTGACTAAGTCGCCTGGGCCTCTAAGTAAACCCCAAGAGCCAAGCCATGCTGTCGGTGCGACTCCTTTCCGGGGCGGTGGTTGCTTCCCTGTCGCTGGACGAGTCGGAACAGGCTGGTTTCCCATAATTTTGGGAGGATCCAAAAAGTAGATCCCATAAGGGGGGTTCCTATAAAGTACCCTTAGTAGTATAGGGCCCCAAATTAGGGGATCTACTTTGTGGATCCTCCCGGAATTCTGGTTTTCGGGTTCCTTTCAAAAGCTCTGTAAGAGTTTCAGGGCTTTTGTAGGCTCTTTTCAGGCTTCCCGTGAGGCATTCTGTAAGGCTTTCAGGCTCTTTTGTGGGTTCCTTTAAGGGGTTCTAGTAGGGTTTCAGGGTCTTTCGGGTTCCTGCTAGGTCTATCAGTTCTGTCCAAAGTCGAAGTTGTAGACCGTGAGCTACAGCCCGCACACCCTAAAGCCTAAACCCTACACCCTAAACACTAAATCCCCAAAACCCTAAACCCTAAACCCCAAACCCTAGACCAAAGCCAAGAGGCTGAAATCCCGCCAATCCTAAAGCCTTCAAGTGGTTGAGGACTACAATCTGCGGCGTCCCAAATGCTAGCCTACACTACCAAGCGGCTAAAGCACCTAAGAGTTGTGTCCTAAAGCAACGGTTAGGGCATTCTGGTGTCGGGGGAATAGGTCCCCTAAACATGGTGGCCTTGGTTTCCCCCAAAAAGCCGTAAGCCCAAAATCCTAAAAACCTAAAGCCCTGCAACCCTAAACCCTTCAAGACCCTGAGCGCTAAAAGCCCTAAAGCCCTAAACAGCGTTCCGACAGGTTACCGCTTGCCCTAGACTCTAAGCCCTTAAAACCCTACTATTAAGGCCTGAAATAAGCCTAAACCCTTAAACCCGTTTGAAGCCTTAAAGCCCCAAGCCTAAACCCCAAACCCTAAAACCTACACCCTAAAACCCCTAAGCCCTAAACCCTAAAGCCCCTAAACCCTAAACCCCAAAACCCTAAACCTTAAACCCAAAACCCTAACCCAAAAACCCCAAACCCTAAGCCCTAAAACCCTTAAACCCTAAAACCCCTAAACCCTAAACCCTAAAACCCTAAGCCCTAAACCCAGAAAGTCCGAAACAGCGCTCCGAGAGGATCTCGAGGTCGGGGTGGTGCGAAGCCTCCGTCTCCAGGCGCCTCGGTGCTTTACTTAGAGGCCCAGGGGACTTAGTAAGTCGGTTATAAGTAGGGTTATAATTAGGGTTTAGGGTTTAGGGTTTAGGGGTTTAGGGTTTAGGGTTTAGGGGTTTAGGGTTTAGGGTTTAGGGGTAACTCCATTTAGGGTACTTATAACCCTACTTATAACCTACTTACTAAGTCCCCTGGGCCTCTAAGTAGGGCTTCAGAAGCTTCCTTTAGGGTTGGGTTTAGGGGATAGGGGTTTAGGATTTTAGGATATATGGTTTAGGGTTTAGGGGATAGGGGTTTAGGGTTTAGGGTAAAGGGTTCAGGGTTTAGGATATATGGTTTAGGGTTTAGGGTATAGGGTTTACGTTTTAGGGTTTAGGGTATAGGGTTTAGGGAGTAGTGGTTATAGTTATAGACGGGTTCTAGAAGTTTTGGGAGTGTCGGGTCGGGTCTGGGGGTCTCGGATTTCTTTAAGACAAGGGTGTACGGCTTGTTTAGGTTTCGGAGGCTTTTCATAGGGCTTCTATTTAGGAACCCCAAAAAGGACATAAGCATAAACATTTTGTAGGGATATCCCTACCTTGTTGGGCTTCATTTTGAGGGTTTTTTATGGGATATCCCTATCCTAATTTTTGCTTATGTGCTTTTTTGGGCGCTCTATCTATGGGGCACCATCAGCGCTCCTTCTACCGCAGACCTCCTAGCCATGATCCTCGCCGAAAAAGTGGGGTTTAGGGTTTAGGATCTAGGATTTAGGGTTGAGGGTTTAGGGTTTAGGATTTAGGGCATCTAGGGTTTAGGGTTTAGGGTGAATAATTCGCACATAAAATCTGCCGGTCTAGTCCCCATAAAATCCTACCATAACGTACCCCAAGACCTTCTCCTCATGATTAAGGCCCCTACACTAACCTCTTGAATCCCGGAACAGCCTAAAGCCGCTGGGAAGCCATGGAAACCTGAACGTTTCAAGATGAATTGCTCAATTTCGCATCTCCGAACCCCTAAACCCTAAACCCCTAAACCCCTAAACCCCTAAACCCCTAAACCCCTAAACCCCTAAACCCCTAAACCCCTAAACCCTAGACCCCGAAGCCGCTAAACCCCGAAACCCCTGAACCCCGAAACCCCTGAACCCTGAAGCCCAAACGGGAAACTCCAGGTGGCGAAGGCCTTGGAGTGTCCCATCTTCACGGTGAGGCCCCATGATGGGCATATGGGCGGTTGTCAAAACTAAGGTCCCCTTTTTTGGTACATTATTAGGTGCCGTCTGAGAAAAGGACCCAAGGCGGGACCATAATTTTGAAAATCATCCATATAGACTTGGAGCTTCGAGTTCATAGGGCTTACAGGGTTTGTAGGGTTTACGCTGTTTAGGGTGTTTAGGGTTGTCGGGTTTGTAGGGCTCCGGCTTAAACTCAAAGCCCTCTTGAACCTTGGAAGCCTTGATGCCACATACCCTAGACGGTTCAGGCCTTTTGCTGGGGTTTCTAGGGTTCAGGGCCAGGGCTTAGATCGTTTATTATAGCCGGGGGACTTAGTAAGTAGGTATCTTTAGGGACTTATAAGTACCATAACCCCAATTAGGGTCCCTTTTAGGGTACTTAT